AGATTGCATTAATTTTGGTGGTTTTAGCCCCACCCCTCAGGCCCCAGGGGGGCAGGGACCATGATATTCACAAATTTTGTTCCCCTTCACACATAGATGCCATATGCTAAAATTGGTTGAAATTGGTTCAGCGGTTTCAGAGAAAAAGCTGAAAATGTTCAAATGTTAACACACGACGCACGACGGACGACGACGGACGAAAACAGATAGCAATAGGTCACCTGAGTGACTCAGGTGACCTAAAAATCTACACTATCCCAGGATGCTTCCACATAAGTTTCAGTTTTTCTGGCCCAGTTGTTCTTGAGAAGAAGATTTTTCTTACATATTTCAATGTAAAATTGGATTCCCTATTGTGGCCCCGCCCTACCCCCGGGGGTCATGATTTTTACAATTTAGTATCTACACTACCCCAGGATGCTTCCACATAAGTTTCAGCTTTTCTGGCCAAGTGGTTCTTGAGAAGAAGATTTTTAAAAAATTTTCCTATATATTTCAATGTAAAACTTGGATTCCCTATTGTGGCCCCGCCCTACCCCGGGGGTCATGATTTTAACAATTTAGCATCTTCACTACCCCAGGATGCTTCCACATAAGTTTCAGCTTTTCTGGCCCAGTTGTTCTTGTGAAGAAGATTTTTCAAGATTTTTCTTACATATTTCAATGTAAAATTGGATTCCCTATTGTGGCCCCGCCCTATCCCCGAGGGTCATGATTTTAACAATTTAAAATCTACATTATCCCAGGATGCTTCCAGATAAGTTTCATCTTTTCTGGCCCAGTTGTTCTTGAGAAGAAGATTTTAAAAGATTTTTCCTATTCATTTCAATGTAAAACTTGGATTCCCTATTGTAGCCCCGCCCTATCCCCGGGGGTCATGATTTGAACAATTTAGAATCTACACTACCCCAGGATACTTCCACTTAAGTTTCAGCTTTTCTTGCCTAATGGTTCTTGAGAAGAAGATTTTTATAGATTTTTCTTATATATTTCAATGTAAAACTTGGATTCCCTATTGTGGCCCCGCCCTACCCCCGGAGGTCATGATTTTAATAATCTCCACTACCCCAGGATGCTTCCACATAAGTTTCAGCTTTTCTGGCCAAGTGGTTCTTGAGAAGAAGATTTTTAAAAAAATTTTCCTATTTATTTCAATGTAAAACTTGGATTCCCTATTGTGGCCCCGCCCTTCCCCCGGGGGTCATGATTTGAACAATTTAGAATCTCCACTACACCATTATGCTTCCACATAAGTTTCAGCTTTTCTGGCCTAGTGGTTCTTGAGAAGAAGATTTTTCCTATATATTTCAATGTAAAACTTGGATTCCCTATTGTGGCCCCGCCCTACCCCCGGGGGTCATGATTTGAACAATTTAAAATTAACACTATCCCAGGATGCTTCCACATAAGTTTCAGCTTTTTTGGCTCTGTGGTTCTTGAGAAGAAGATTTTTAAAGATTTTTCCTATATATTTCAATGTAAAACTTGGATTCCCTATTGTGGCCCCGCCCTACCCCCGGGGGTCATGATTTTAACAATTTAAAATCTACACTATCCCAGGATGCTTCCACATAAGTTTCAGCTTTTCTGGCCTAGTGGTTCTTGAGAAGAAGATTTTTAAAGATTTTTCCTATATATTTCTATGTAAAACATTGATTCCACATTGTGGCCCCGCCCTACCCCCGGGGGTCATGATTTGAACAATTTAGAATCTACACTACCCCAGGATGCTTCCATATAAGTTTCAGCTTTACTGGCCCTGTGGTTCTTGAGAAGAAGATTTTTTAATGACCCCACCCTATTTTTGTCTTCTCTTGATTATCTCCCCTTGTGAGGGGACTTGGCCCTTCATTTTAACAATTTAAATTCCCCTTTACCCAAGGATGCTTTGTACCAAGTTTGGTCAAAATTGGCCCAGTGGTTCTTGAGAAGAAGTCAAAAATGTGAAAAGTTTACAGACGGACGGACAGACAGACGGACAGACAGACGGACAGACGGACGGACGGACGACGGACAAAATGTGATCAGAAAAGCTCACTTGAGCCTTCGGCTCAGGTGAGCTAAAAACCTAGGGGGTGTGCTTATAGGGGCAGGGGCAGTTAATAGGGATTATACGGTATTTACATTAGTAATGTGAAAATTTTGCATTGGAAGAACATTATGCAAAGTTATGCATAGATTTTTTTAAAATAAAAAATAAAATCTGCCCACCTGCCTCAATTTATAAGCAAATTAAGATGAGAACCTAAAATTTAAATTTATATGGCCCTCTTTCTCTGTTAACTGATAAATAAGAAATTATGTCATGTTCCAACACCAGTCCAAACAAACTTGCCTATATGTTGCATCACTGCATTCAGAAAAAGGAAACAAAGAATTTTCATCATTTCCCTCAATTTATGATTCCCATTCACACAATTTTTACCTACTGTTACCTACTGTATATATATAAACCTTACAATATATTTAAGGAATCACTGTCTAGTTAGTAGAGTATGCCAGGGCATCAATGATAATTGGAAACGTGGGATAATTTGCATAACCGGCAAAGCCCGTTATGCATGAATTATCCCATGTTTCCAACTATCGTTGATGTCCCTGGCATACTCTACTAACTAGACAGTGATTCCTTACATTTCCATTTCATTGTGAAATAAAATTGTAAATTTAGATTTTAAAAATGTAGACTAATAGATTTAAATTACACGAGGCCTCACATGTCAATTTCAATAGTCCCCACCCACTGACGTCAAACATAAAGACAGCCACACGAGAATTACATGCATATTAGACCTCCTTAGCGTCAGACACAAAGACAGGCGCACGAGAATTACATGCATATTAGGCCTTCTTAGCTCCTGACCTTTAGCTTGGCGAAATTTACATTCCGGAAGAATGATCAAGAAATCAACTCAACTACCAGTAACTTTCAAAGAGTTATCTCAGAGAAAACAAATAGAAATGGAAATATATATATATAAGTATCTTATATACAAGATACATGCTACATTAAACACAGGTAATCAAAAATTACATATAGCTCACCTCAACAAATGTTATATTTAAGTAAGGTAAAGTCCATAGCTAAACAAATGTTATTGTAGTATGCATCACGGCTCAACTCCAATATGTGGATAAAATAGCACATGTACCTGTAAAAGTACTTTTTGCACAAATTCCTACATTTCAAGTATTTTTACAGACTGATGATTGTAAATCACATTTCTAGTGTCACCGGGGACGGTTGACGGTTGATGCAACATTTATATAAATGCAAGTTTAGTCTGGCTAGGATTTTTATTAACTTGTAAATGTCCTTGCACCAAAAACTTTTTCTGTTCAATCTTTCAGAAAATGTAAGTAAGTTTCAGCATCCAGACCAAGTCTGGTAGTGGGCAAACATATGTATCATCCATGCAAATGTTTAAAGGTAGGGCTTGCACATGTAGTAACCTTGGAATGATATTCTTCAATTAAAATTAATCTGGTCACTCATCCATAGCATGTAGTCAGATCCAGCATCCGAAACAAGCCTGATAGTTTTCATCTCTAGATATGAGGTAGTATCATAATGCATCTTTTGATGTATCATCCAAGCATGTTTGGTTTTGGTAGGGCTTAAAATTCAGCTAAAAAGAACCCGTTCCAAAAACTTCAACTAAATCACTCATTCCCGGAATATGTTGATCAGCTCCAACATTTGAAATGAGTCTGGAAGTGTGCACCCTAAAGCCATATCATCCAAGCAAATTTGTCCAGATAGAACTGAGAGTAAGATGGAATGATCTTGCACTTTAAACTGGTCAATCATCCCAAAACTGTGAAATGTAGGTCAAATTCAGCATGTGTGGTTTTGTGCATCCCTTCAAGCATCATCCATACAAATTTAGTCAACAAAATGTTTATTATTACTTGGGTATGGATTATTAATGCATGGGTATAAACTTAAACATGGTTGCTCATCCTGAAAATGTAGGTCAGATCCAGCATCTGAACCAGTGTGCACCCTTAGATATAGATATATTATCTATGCAAGTTTGGTCATCATAAGGGTTTATGGTTAAGAGTGAACTTCAACCTGGACACTTTTGCAGAAAATATACAATTATGGTCAAATTCATCATCAAAAGCAAGTATGCTAGATGTATTGTCTATGCAAGTTTGGTCAATATAGAGACCTGCTAACATGAACAAGGCCATTTTTTAGAAAATATTGGCTGAAAATGCAGCAACTGAAACAGGACTTGAAAAGTGAAACATACTACAATTGAACCTCACTATCTCAAACTCGATGGGACCAAGAAAATACTTCAAGGTATCCAATGATTCTAGATACAGTTGAACTTCGTTATCTCGAACACTGATATCTCGAATACCATGGATATGTCGAAGTAATTTGCATGTCCCAACCACTTATTCTTTAAGTATTTTACCCTCGATATCTCGAATCCTCGGATATCTCAAAGTTTTTTCTCGGTCCCTTCAAGTTCGACATAACGAGGTTTGACTGTATCCAGGGGTAAAATACCAGTACTTAAAGAATTAGTGCTTGGGACTTCCAAATCACTTCGACATATCCATGGTATTCAAGATATCAAAGTTTGAGATACCGAAGTTCAACAGTACATATGTATATACATCATCCATGCATCAATGATCAATACAGGGCATAGAAATTTGCTTCAAAAGCTTCTGGGATGCCAACACAGAGCACATATGTTGAGGTATTATCTACGTAAGTTCTAAGAACTTTGTTGATGTGAGCTAATAATTAACCAAGTCTAAGTTTGAATATAACATCAAAAATTTTTTTTTGTGTTAGATTAATTGCCAATCCTATAATTCACAACATGTACCCACTTTATCTTTTGTACTCTCTCACTTGTGAAAATATCAAGTTAAATAATGTAAAAAAAAATTTGCAGAGTTAGTCTGCTAACACCCTTAATGCATCCAGGACTTTGAACATTTTAAAACAGATAAATCAAGAATTTACTCACTAATTGTTTACATCAGATCCACAGATCTTAGCAAATTGTTCATCAGACATTTTAAGGTTCCCAGGAATCTCCATGTTCTGAAAAATATGCACAGATGATTTTAAATATGTTTCTTGTCACTTATTGTTGGCAATCCCTTCAGATCCACGACTAAAACTTCTAAAACAGGTTCTTATATACAAATTAGATCAAAAAGTTTTATTTGCTTATCATTAAAATATTTTAAGGTAACAATTAAAGTAGCAACCACTACTTTTGTTTTTATTTCCCTAATTATTTCGCCTTGTTTAAGGATAACACCCCTATTATTAGTATAAATGAAAGCCCTTTGGACCAAGAATTCTCTGTGACAAATTTGAAAAAAAAAATGACAAAGGGGTTCTTCAGATATTGCCCATATTTCAAAGTTTTCACACAAGGCCATAGTATTGGCTCTTTGAGCCTTCAGCTTAGGTCATCTCTTAAATGAAATACGGAGATAACGAACAGTATTCAAGCTCGAAGTCCATTAAAACAATATAAATCAAAAGCAGAGCAAACATGGACCTCCAAAACATCAGAGGTAGGATCAGGTGCCATGGAGGAGTGAGCATCCCCTGCCGACAGGTCACACCCGCTCCTTGTCATGATTGGTAAATAACGGAGAAATCCGTCGACAATTCAGTGTGTAAATAATGACCTAACAATTAGTATGAAAAATGTCAGTCAGCATATGACTTAATGATATATTGCATTTGCTGACAAGGTCATTGTATTGATCATAGAACTTACAAAATGATGACTTTAAACAAAATTGTTGAAATATACTGAAAAAGACTTTGTTTGCCCTCTCCCGAGTCAGGATCAGGGATGGGGTAATCATAAGCGAGTAATCGTATTTGATTGTAATGATTATATTTTACAAGTAATCAACAGTAATCTGTAATTGAAGAGATTTTACATTACTTGTAATCATAATTTAATTGATCACATCTAAAATTTTCCAAGTAATTGTAATTATTTTTTCGATTACTTTCAATTACTCTATAGTCTATATATAAATGATTGTTACTAAGTAATAGTTTCCACTCAAACTCATATAAATATGAAATACAAACTGTTTAACAAACTTTAAAATTTGCAATTAATTCCAAAGTTTTCATTCATAATTGTAAGATTATGTTTCCTCAGTGAGAGGTTTTGTGTCTGTATTTTGATAGAGAGGGGACAAGTGCACAATGTTTGTTTATCTTGGCTAATTGACTGAGACATTCCTGACTACAGATAATTAGGTATGATCTGTGAACTACCTAGTGTTTAAAGGTCTTATGAAACAATGTCCTGAACATTTTATGACGTTGTATACAGAAATGAGTTCATCTGAGCTACTTTAATAAGCCTGAAATTACATTTTGGATTTTTTATGCAAGTTAGCGGCAGTAGAGTCAATAAAAATTACTTGACCACGAACATGAACTTAAACTAACACGGCTTATCTCCCTTTGATTACGATGTCAGTAAGACCCAGTCGCTACATTCAGTACTTACATTTCTACAACCGATCATGTCTTTTGCAGCTTAATTTTAAGAAATATCAATATCATGGCTAGAACTTTGCATAAATATAAAAAGTTCAAACAAGTTAGTATTTGTCTTTTAACATCCTATTGCATATTTGCAAGGTTTTTGTATGTTTTATCCCTGTAATTTATTGTCGTCCCTCAAACTTCAATTGACAAAGAGAGGTGGTCTGTATTCAAGTAAGTGAATATAAGCACTGTCATACACATCCAGAAAATGTAAGTGATATCCAGCATCTGAAGCAAGTTTTAGAGTGTTCATCCTGTGATGCATCATTCATGCAAGTTTGGTTCAGATAGCCCTTATAGTTTACTTTAACCTGGTCACTCATATGAAAAATGAAGGTCAGATACAGCATCCGAAGCAAGTCCAGTAGTGTGCATCCTTAGTTTGGTCAACATAGGACTTATAGTTACTTGGAAATGAGACTGCTCCAACAACTTTAACCTGGTCACTCATCTGGAAAATGTAGGTCAGATCCAGCTTTCAAAGCAAGTCCAGTAGTGTGCATCCTTAGCTGTATCATCCATGCAAGTTTGGTCAACATAGGACTTGTAGTTACTTGGAAATGAGACCTGCTCCAAAACATTTAACCTGTCCACTCATCCGGAAAATGTAGGTCAGATCCAGCATCTGAAGCAAGTCCAGTAGAGTGCATCCATGGAAGTTTGGTCAATATAGGGCTTTTAGTTACTTGGAAATGAGATCTGCTCAAAAATCTTTAACCTGGACACTCATCCGGAAAATGCAGGTCAGATCCAGCATCCGAAGCAAGTTCAGTAGTGTGATCCTTAGATGTATCATCCATGCAAGTTTGGTCAAAATAGGGCTTATAATTACTTGGAAATGAGACCTACTCCAAAAACTTTAACCCGCTCAAGAACTTTAACCTGCACCAAAAACATTAACCTGGTCATTCTTTAGCTGAAATTGCAGCATCTGAAACCTTGACTGGTACAATGAAACACACTAGAAGCATCCTCCATGCATCTCTGATTAATATAGGGCACAGATGTACTTGAAAAGAAAACAGCACCAACTAGAACTGTCCAAAACAGACAAATACCCCCACTTGGTTTTTCAGAGAAGATGTGAGAGGTGTTCACAATTTGCTTAAACATTTAGAGTGAAAATTTAATTACTCATCATATTTTTTTAGTGAATGAAACTAAGGTGCAGCCTAAAAAAACATCAATACTAATAATTACAGTGTTTTTTTTTTTTTATTACATTGAAAAAATAGTTTGCAACTATCTGTCATCTTTGTGAGACATGACACTCTGCAAATTGATAGTTGAAAAAAAAAATCATAATTAATTATACAGAATCAAATTGGTCTTAATACCTTTATATCAAACTCATTTTCAAAATAAAAGGCTGGTTCCAGTAACTATGTATTTTGACAGACATAAATTACAATTAAGAGACTTAGACAACAGAGATCTTTATTTCTTTCTGCCCAATTCCCAGGAGATATAGATAAGACCTGCTTGATCAGAGATGCCCTAACAGCTTAATTCCCAAACTGAACTCATTAATTAATCTTTAACTGGATGCATGTTCACTCATTACTCCCAAGGGACAAAAGGATTTACACTACTGTGGAATCATTTAATTTCGTGGGGGTCAATGTTCGTGGGCAAGCAAAATTTTATTGGTTCATGGGGATGTAATTTCGTGGGCAGCTCATTTATTTGGTAGATTTAATTAATCAGTACGTTGACAAAATAATTGTTCGTGGGGATGTAAATTCGTGGGTAAGGGTTACCCACGAAATCCATGAACATTGATCCCCCAGAAACAATGATGATTCCATAGTATCTGCTGTGTAATGTAAAATCTGTTTTTAATACTTTGTGATTTTTTTTTAGTTCTAATGAGTAGTTTTAAGCTGTAGTTTACATTTTTGAATAGATGTTCTAGATTCTATGTCTCAAACCTTAGACATGAACCCAAAATGACTAAGTCAATAAAAATGAAAAAAAACACCTGTAAAATGCAGAAAAATTATCAAATAATGTTGAAAATACCAGGTGCACATCTTCATATGGTAAATAATAAGTGTACAAATTTTCATACAATTCTATGCAATAGTCTCTGGGAACAAATCCGGACAAAACCTCATAATAAAAATGAAAAAAAAAAAAACCTGTAAAATGCAAAAAAATTATCCAATCATGATGAATATACCAGGTGCACACCTTCATATGGCGAATAATTAGTGTACAAATTTTCAGACAAATCCTTGCAACAGTTTCCAAGAAATGGTTCGGACAAAATCTCGTCTACAGACAGACGCACGGACATGCTGATTCCAATATACCCCCATAAACTTCGTTTGCGGGGGGTATAAAAACTTTAATCTGGGACACCGACGGTATTACATAAGTTCCCCCAACTTCATTGAGGTGAGCTAAAAAAGGAATGGCACTCACATACACGCGTCGAACAACAAATATGCTAAACCATCTCAGACTGAAATTTAACTCTGAAACAAACGATATGTAAAGGACATTCCCCAAAACAGCCAACTAACATGGGATGTTTTAGTAGATATCATGTGTTTGTATTTATAAATAAAGTTCATATGCAGTGCATCTGTGTTTTATATATACCTGTATACTTCAAATTATAAGATAAATATGAATAACGACGTAACATATATTACAGTTACTATATAGTACATTTACTGCCAACACGGATGTTTAGAGGTCAAAAGAAAAACCATCCGAGTAACTGAGTACTCGATCAGAATAGTAAGAGAGTAACCAGTTACTAAAAATCATCCAATTTGACAACACTAGTTATTAGAACAATTAATAGCTCTCAATTCAATTCAATTTATTCACTCAAACCACTAAAGTTCTATGTACTATACACTAAGTTCTATGTACAATATACAAAGACAATATAAAAGATATATGTGAAATAGCGGGAATACATACAAGTTAGATAAACAAATAATTATGGAGGACAGACTTGTTCATATATTTTAGATATGTAATTACACAATTTAATTGAAACACTGAAGTCAGCAGTTGACAATAATTCTGAAAATTTGTTAAAATTTGGTCTATTACAGTACATGTATTTTTTTAGTATATGCTTTTTCTGGCATTCTGAAAAAAACTGACATTCTAGAATATAATAACACTCATCTGCTATTTGTTCCTTACCAAAAATTATTACAAAGTCTATCTTTTGGGGAATTTCACACCATCTCCCAGTCTCAACTGGGAGGCAATGACTTGCAGTTCTAAATTAAATTAAAATTGTTCTAAATTTTTTAGGTACCTAGTATATTTAAATATTTTTCACATCCAAATTCTGTTTTGAAGATACCATATGTATGACCTTTGGACAAATCGTGCATATCACTTTGCCATTTCTGTATATACTGATCTTTGAGATGTCCAACTATACTTTTTTTAAACCATTCAATATTCATAAAATCTTGTTCATTCCATACATTTGAGCATCCACAAAGATCAAGAATATTTTTAATACAAGAAATCCA